ACGCGCACCCAAGCAATAAACAGTAAAGAACACTCCATATATATATATATATATATATATATAAAAGAAGCATTTCGCATAAGCACATGCAAGTTATAGCTGTGAAAGAAAAAAATATAGAAAAAAAGAGAAGTATAGCTGGAAGAGTTTAAAATATATGATATTATGAAGTTAATGTGATTACATAATAAGGAAATATATATTATATATTTATACAATAATAATAAATTAGTAGTAAAATTATAACGGATAGGTTATGATGGATAGTGTTGTATTAATTAATTAATGTGCCTTTTAATAAATTGGTATTAAACAAATTAATTATACTATCAATAGTTAATCTTAAAATATAATTAATATAAAATAATTATATACCTCTATTAAATTTACATAATTAAATAAGTTTCAGTCAACCGAATTTCAATTAATCATTATATTTGTATCAAAAAAAATGTGTCAGTAGTAATTTCAAATATATCTCATGACTGGCAGAATAAATAGACACGGCCTTATTGAACCCACCTAGAATGACTTGGGAACACACGCTTAATCGGTCGTCTACTGTCCATCGAGCGGACGGTACTTCCAACTTTCAAGGTAGATAAGAGTAGATTATCTCTCAAAGGATCTACCTAATCCGACTCGCATGAAAGAGCCTAGTGCCCTCCACTCAGACTCTGATCAGACCGGGTGAGCAGGGTAAATTATCTGGTTCTAGAGCAGTTAGTATCAGTTCTCAGCAAATGGCCGCTCGGCCAAATCCCAGCCTAACTAGACCATGTCAGCCGCCTGACTTTTTACGGCCGAACATCCGTAGGACACCCGGGTCATGATTATGTATAGATCAAAATACCCTCGACGTACCTAATATTATATATCATATATATTCTAAAGATATATATATTTTTTAATTTACTAATCCCAACAGTTTCTGACAGGCAACCGAATTTGGATTATTCGTAAAGAGAGTGCGGCCACCACACCCCAAATTGTGACCTGTTAATTTAAAAATATTAATTTATGTTCAACGGGCGCGTGATCTATTTTTTAATTTCTGATGATCTCAACATTTGCTCAGCTTCGCACATTTCAATTTGCAAGCTTTCAATAAATTACATTTTAATGCTCAATAATTTTGGTAGAGTAATAATGCAGAAAAAATATTGAAGAAATAAGATTAAAAAAAAAGGGACTCTTTTTATGTAAAATGTAATTATAAATATCAAAGTTTTGATGTTGTGCATGAAATTATCTCAATTCAAAATAGAGTATGTTGATCATCACTCAAGTCATTGACTTTAAGATAATCAAATTAAGATCTTGATTCTTAATTTAGGCTGTGGTTGGGCCATTTTATCCGCTGCGGTAGCGTTTTGAGAACGTCACATCACCGTTTGGAAACTGCATTTGAGCAACTTGTACGAAAACTCAGTTGGTTTTTTACATTAAATGCAGAAAGCCCCGAGGTCCAGATAAGCGGCTTATCTGGCTAAGCGCAAGTTTCCCCAAACACACCCTTAGTATCATTTTTCAACGCAACATATAAAAATGCAAGTGCCAGTTCTATTTTTTACGTGAAAATATATCTTGTTTGGCTGCAAGAGCCATAATTGTTCTACAACAATAATAGTTATAGTCATTGTTGGTTGCACCAATTATTGGTGGTGGACATTTCCCAAATAATACTTGGACGTTCTCTTACCCAAAATATATCTAGATTCATGCATGATCATAACTAAATAATCTAAGTGCTAATTTTATAAATATTAATATTTTGAATGCTAAGTATATAATAATCTCTAAATTTTATTACCATATATATATATATATATATATATATATATATATATATTACATTTCCCCAATTGTAAATGGTATAAAGCGAGCTATCAAACATCAGAAAAATGTAAACCTGGCTCTAGAGATGTTTCTAATATCTTAAGGTGTTATGCAATATTTTATATCATAATATAAATAAATTATTACATTAAATTTTTTTATGGAGGATTTACTAAATAAACATATTACTATAATCGTATTTCTTATAAGGATTTTTTCTTTAGATGTTATTTAGCTAAAAAAAAATTAAGAAAAAAAAAAATCAAACAACTAGCAAGATTAAAGTTGATTGAGATGGCCGTAGCTTTTTAAGAAAATAACTTCTTAAAAAGCTGCAGTGAGAATTATAAATATATGTTTTCTGATTGAAAAGAAGAGTCTTCCATCACAGAAACTTCTAGAAAATAGGTCTATGCAAAAATAACGAGGAAGCGTAAAAATTCACATGACAATAATCAAGCACAAAAGATTTAGACGGTTAGATGTTGAATTGATTCGCCTGCGTCAAAAAAATAAATAAATAAATTTGATTTATAATAGGTTAATGAAAAAATTACCATTTAAAAAAAATAAAATCTAAAATTAGGAAAAAAAAAAAGGTATGAAGTTGACTGGCCATAATGAAATTAAAAAATATAATAAGTGGAAAGATATTGAAAGAAATATATACAACACAATGAAAATTTTCATAACACCAAAAAAAAAAATTAAATAAATAAAAAAAAGAGGTCAAAAAAATAAATAAATTAAACTAACAAATAATGAAATTAAGAAGAAAATTGAAAGTAAGGGCTCATTTGGGACAGCTTATAAGTGCGGCGACGTTTTTGAAAACACAGACATGTTCAGACAAATTATATAAAAATGGCCATGAGGGATACTTGGATATAAATATAAGTTCAATAACAGCTGGTTAAATTTTTTAATTTAAAAATTCTGCCACATATACCATGACTGTTACAATATTAATGCACCTTGTCAAAGAAGCTATGGCTCTTACCAACTTTTTTCGAAAAAATAAAATAAAAATTAATTTCATCAGCCTTAACATTCAACTCACCGGATCTTGAAGCATTGAACAATTTATTTTTCTAATGTTATTTTTTTTTTTTCTTATCTAACTTTTAAATTTTTACAATTTCACATCACATAAAAATATTATAACTCTTAATTTTTCAAAAATAAAAATAGATTTTAATGCATAAGATTTGTGATATTAATATATTATGCATATAAAAGTTGTGAAGATGGAAGTCAAAGAAATTTTGTTGTTGATTATTGTCTTAGCGTGATACGAAGATTCAACACTCATTCAAAAAAGAAATATCAACTAATAGTAATACTAGAAGTTTTTATATGGAATAACTAGAAAAAAAAAATAAAAAATGTTTACAATTTTCAACCGTTTGTCCCATAAACAGAAAAAGATTTACTAGTTTTTAGTTATTAAAATATTGAGGCGACTGATAATAATTGACGACATCCGATCGGTGGTGGTCGACGGTGACGGTAGTGATCGACAACAATCAATGGTGGTCTACAGAGATTGGTGGTAGTCGATGGTTTTCGTTGGTGATCGACGAGAGCCGACAGTCGATGAGAGTCGGCGATGGTCGAGAATGGTGCTGTACTTTTAATTTCTTCTCAAGCCTCAAGTTAACCTCTCAGTGTTATGAGATGGATGTGACTTTATTTAAGTAGTTATAGGTGTAATTAATGCATGAATATGACTAGCTTTGATCGAACGGTTCAAATGACTTCCCTTTATCAAACGACATTTGATGAACTTTTGAGCGTATTAATGATGTTAGAATTGAGTGATATTGGGATCGTTGGATTCTCTTGTCAAGACGCTCAATTTGTCTATAGATTTGTTTGAATGAACTTCCAAATGTGTCTAGAAAAACTTCCAAAAACAGTTTAATGACTTAATTTGGGTTTAATTTGGTTTGTGTTTGACCAATTTTGGTATTATTGAGTTTCTCTCATCGAGCCGGTCACTTTGACTGTAACTCTGCTAAAATCAAAGCTCGGGATGGCTTCTAATTGAAGTTTGAATGTCTCTTGTTCAAAATATTGCTCGAGATCTATCTTATGCATTAAGATTCGTGTTGTATGATGAAATTTTATTCATGGCATATCAATAATATTATTTTTTATCGATTCAATAAATAAAATTTTAATTCAAGATTATTTTTTTGAATATTTTCAATAATATTTTAAATAAAAATTTAAGAGATGACATTTTTGTATTTACAATATAAATTTATTATTTTTTATGATTAGATCAAAATTTAAAAATTAAAATTGAATAATATGTGAACTAATCATTGTTTTAGAAATCGGGCCAATTCAAATCCGATTCCAACCGGTTCAATCCCATGTATATTCTGAAATGAATCTAAACTTTAAAATATTGAATAATCAATTTATAATTAAACCTGTCGAGCCGACCGGTCTTAAAAAAATTTAGATATGTATATTTATAAGAATTGTGTGGTAAAATCTCTATTTAGAAAATCTAACCGAATCGACCCGTTTGACTGTGAATCAACCGGTGCTCCTATTCCACCATGAACCGACAGGTGATCCGGTTCAGACTGACTTAAAAATCGCCCCCACATTGAAACAGATTGAACCAACCATTTTAACCCCGTAACCATAAATTGTATTTTCATACATTTATAAGACCAATTATATGTAATTTAAGTATCTAATGCCTAAACTCTACTTTTTTATATATATATACCACTCAAATCACTCATATCACCTCAAACACATTACTACAACAAAGAAATTTAATATAGATACATGCCACAGATTTATATTTATTTACATATCTAACAAATAAACTTCATTTTTTTTTACTTTTATACCATCGAAATCATCTATTTCATATAAAATATTATTATTTAAAAAAATGAATAATAACTTTTTTTGCATAAAAAAAAAATTAAAATGATATATAAAATTGAATTTTTAATATTAGAATTTTTGAATCTTTTTATCGCTTCAATCTTTATGGTTCCGTAATTAGCTTATTTACCCAAAGCTGTATGTTTCCTCTGCTCTGTCAGGATTTCCTATAAACTGCCCTACCAATCTCTCATTGTCTCCGATCTTGAGAGATCTCTCCTTCTTTCCGCCATGGCTCACCTAATAGATCTCCAAAACATTAATCTCTCAGATAATACAGAGAAAATCATAGCAGAGTACATATGGTTAGCTATTTTCCACTTCTCGACTTGGATCTCTTTCTTTTCTTCCCTTTCCGATTCAAATTTTTTGAATCCTGAGTAGATATTTTCGGTTTTCTTTTGAGATTTTGTGATGACAAGATATTTTTTCTTTATAAAAATTTTATCTTCTTAAAAATCTCGCGGCGAGTGTAGCGATCTTTATTTTTTCTGAGTTTGCATTTCAAATATTTGTACTTTTGTGTTGTTTTTATTCATTATTTTCGTGAATATTTTCATGAGCGGTCCTTTTTCTAGGGTTTCTGCATGGATTTTGGCTTACCGGAAGCTTTTATGCTTTCTTCTTTGCTTGATTTCAATGGAGATTTCACTCTTCATTTATTTATTTTCTAATGCCACTTATATCTTTCTGCTTTGCAAAATCTGCAGGATTGGAGGATCTGGTATGGATTTGAGGAGCAAAGCTAGGGTAATTTTTTTTTATTTTGTGATTTTAATATGATTTCATTTTTTATTTTTTATTTTTGCATATTTTAATCATATGGTTATATGTAACTTTATCTTTTTTTTGCAGACTCTTCCAGGACCTGTGAGTGATCCTGCCAAGCTTCCAAAATGGAACTATGATGGATCGAGTACAGGCCAAGCTCCTGGGGATGATAGTGAAGTGATTTTGCAGTAAGTTTCATCTTCTCTTCTCAAGTTTTAAAAAGTTTTTGTTATGTTTTTCTTATGATCTATTTCATATTTATAAATTTATGTTTTTTTTTTTGTAAATTTTGTTATTTGCAGTCCTCAGGCCATCTTTAAGGATCCTTTTAGGAAAGGCAATAATATTCTGGTGAGATTTATTATTTCATTACGCCTTATAGTTATCTATTAACTTTGGTTTCATCATGGCTTACAGTTTTTCTTTCTTAGATACAGTAATAAAATACACCATAATTCTTCCTCCTAAATTTTGATGTTTATTTATTTGGTGTCACAAACACGTCAAATATGTCAAGGTGTAGTTTAGTTTAGGAGATTTAATATTGGTGGTATCTTTGATGTAATGTTATAATGATTTATTTATTATAAGCAAATTTCAAGGTTTAGATGTTAGATATGTAAATACTTAAAAATTATGTGGTACGGATGCAAATCATAATAATTATAAATTCTCCTTTTAAGATTTGAAATAAAAAAGTTGAACCTTAATTTTGATTTATTTTTCAAATTGGGTGGAGAATTATGCATATTGCCGTCTTGCCTGAGAGAAAATGTTACATCAGGACTCCGTACGTAAATGACATAAATTGCGTCCAATGGTGGGGCGTCACATGTCAAGTAGGTCCCATCACAATACACAGACATTGGCTAGTGTGGAAAGCGGTGGGGCTCACTTGACACGTGGAGCCCCATCATTGGACTCTGGATACATCCGGAGTTCGTATGCAATATTTTTTCCTTGCCTGAGGATATCAAAGCTATATGTGTAAATATTGATTTTCTTAAATTTTTTAGGAAGATGTTCCTTATGTTAACTGACATGGACACGATAAATGCATCCGCACGCCTTTACAATTAAAATTATATATATATAAATATATAGGGGTGTAAACGAGCCGAACACGAGCGAGCCCAGACTCAGCTCGTGTTTTGCTTGTTTGCTTAGCTAGCGAGCCGAACACGAGCCGTTCACGAACAAAGAGTCGTTTTGACAACCCTAATCAGGTAGCCATAAGATGTTAAGGATTGGGGCAAGATTTAAAAATTATTGTTTATATTAAAACATCATTTGAATTTAATTTAATGATTTTTATTCTATTTTCTTAATTAATGCTTAATATATATATATATATATATAGAGAGAGAGAGAGAGAGAGAGAGAGAGAGAGATAGGTTAATATAAGTGAATATAGGGAAATGTTAATCTAAACGAGTATTATGTTGTTTTTTTACATGTGACCCTCTCGTTATAGATATAGGAATATTATCATTGATACATCGTCAACAAATTTTCAATATCATGGACACACACACACACACACACACACACACACACATATACACATACATATATAATTATGCTAACTTTTAAAAATTAAGAGCTCATTTAAGATCACTTTTATTTTCTCTTTTAGTTGATATAATTTTTATATATTTTATTTTTAAACTTTAAGAACAAACAAATTACATTTAAAAATAATTAAAATATATAAAAGCTAGCATATATTATTTTGTATCACATCAAAATTTAAGTTCTCTTAATCAATCATTCACTAAAAGACATAAAATGATCATTGGCTTATTTGAAACCGAATTCTTATGTATTTACATATCTTAAACCTAAATTATGATTTTTCTTATATGTCCCCCAAATCTTTTATATCAAATCTAATATGCCACTATTTCCAATTTTAAAAAGTGAAATACACATTTTCATATCTATGTAAGGTGACAAATATGTAAACTTTGAAATTTAGGTTTACATAGAAATTGATTGATATGTGTTTAAATATTTCTTCAATTTTACTTACAAATACAGATTTTTAATTATAGTCAAAAGAATATTTTTTCAGAAAATTTTTAATTCATTAATTTATGACACGTGTGTCCTGCGCGTCCTGTATGTGTCCTTTTCTAATATTATTTGAATCAGATATTTCTATGTTGTGAACGTGTCCGATGCGTGCCCGACACTGCACGACTTCTTAATTAGAAGTCTCATTGCATCACAGGTTATACCTAAGTGGAAATTAGGTTATAAATTGGTTATTAAAGTGTGTTTCGAACTCCATCTTCTAATTTAGAAACTCTCTACTATTCTACAGACATTTCACTGTACATGTTGATTTATCTTACAAATTTGGGCATTATAATATGCGGAAAATCCCTCATATGTGAGGTCATGGCTTCTTTTTATATTGTGATAATTCATCGGGGTTATATATTTATCTACTTATTTTATATATTTTATATATTTTATATGATTAATTTATATAACCTTTAATTTTGTCCTCACCGGTTGTTGGATAACATCTCTATTTTTTTTCTTAAAAATAAAATTTTTGATTTATCTTAGTTCTTGTCTGTTTGGATTTTGTTACATATATATTTATCTATACGTTGAATAAAAGAATAATTTTGATTTTTGATTGATAATTTTGTCTGCTAACCAATGATTTTGCCATAAAATGCTTTTTGATACTTGAAACTGATTGGAAGAAATGTAAGTATTCATAAATTCGCCCTTTTATCATCTTGTTTTAGCATTGTGGTTAAATTCCTATTAAGCATGTTTAATAATGGCATTTACCTTTCATTTTACAACAATAAAAAGTAGAGGAACTTCGGTGGGAATGCACTAAGGGCTGTCTCATTTCATTTCATTGCTAGAAGTTAAAAATCATAACACTACCATTGCCAGGTCCCAAGCCCCGAATGTGAAAAGTGGAGGGTTGCGTTATGTGATCGGCAACCAACTTAAAATTTGTCGAAAAATCATGACATAAATCATTGTAGATGTTTTAGATTAGACTTATGTTAAGAATGACAAAGGTAGACATAGAAAGACTTGAACATATTGTATAAAAAATGATCTTAATTTATTAGATTAAATGAAACTATGACATTCAATAGGACGCTATAGAGAAAAAGGATTTATGTAGCCGACCTCGTTTAGTGGGATAAAGGCTTGCTGTTGTTGCTCCTGCTAGAAGTTTAAAATCATGTTTTAAATAACTATAGATTTTCTAAATTTTGCCATTTGTTGGATATAATTACAATTGAACTTTGATTTCAATTCAAAAACCATAAAATATATGAATTTGTATTGACACCTAAAATAAGTGACAATAAAATCATTATTTTTGAAATGTAGTTTTAAGCGACGATTTACCTATATTTTACTCAATTTCTATGTAGTTACATATCTAACACCTAAACTTCAATTTTTACATGTATGCCACCTTACCTTATGCATTAAAAGGTTTATTTCACTTTTTAAAAGTTATTATAGTGATATTTTGATATGATATAAAAGATTTGGGTGGTAGGAATGTAAAAAACATAGTCTAGGTGTGTTGGGTATGTAAATACGTAGGACTTGGGCGGCATGTATGGGAAATTCTCCATTTTTTATTTAGAAGCCCAGAGTGCAATTCAATGATGTTAAGATTGACAGCGACATATATGAAAGCCTGGATAAGTGCTGATGAAAAAGCTATTATGAAAATGACAAAATTATAAAATTTAATTGTGTATAACAATAAATAAACGTGTATTTATGCAAGTCGACAACATATTAAAAATGTCCCTTCAATTGTACGTAACATTTTTTGTAATTGAACTGTTGACCTTTTTAGCTTTAGTGTTTTGTTTTCTTATATGATTTATTCGTTGGATTATTTTATCATATAGGTTATATGTGACTGCTACACTCCGGCGGGAGAGCCTATTCCAACCAACAAAAGAAACAGTGCTGCAAAAATTTTTAATCATCCTGATGTAAAGGCTGAAGAGCCATGGTAAAATTATTTTTTTTATGAGTCATGTTTCCTGTTTAGTTAAATAAAATAAATTGTTTCATAATTTTTGCAATTTTTATTTCTCTAGGTATGGAATTGAACAAGAATATACACTCCTTCAGAAAGATGTTAAGTGGCCACTTGGTTGGCCTGTTGGTGGCTTCCCTGGTCCTCAGGTAATTAGTTAATTTACATTCTATTAAAATGTGTGAAATTTTGGGTTTAATCTTACAATGGATGGTTGAAAAATATGTTCGTGAGTAATATATTTAATGGATTTTTTAGAATTTTTTTTATTTTTAAATTATTGGTTTTTGTTTCTAAAAGAATGCCTTTTTGTTGTCTTTTTTACATATTTTGATTTTTTGTTTTAAAAATTACTCAAAACAACTTTTAGATATTTGGAGAGTTTTCAGAAGAAACAATCATATTTTATTTAAACTTAGTAAATGTGTTTTGTTTTGGATTAGAATTTAGACAAAGTAAAATAAAACAAAAAATAGATAACAGGAAATAGAACTGATCCCTTATTTAAAGATTAGCTGTCAGGCTTAGACTTATGCTTTTTGGCTAGAAATGGATTGAATCCCTCTTTATCTCACCTTCTCTAACATGTTGGTGAGAGCTTATGCTTTTGCATAAATTTTTCAAAAGAAGTTATGCTCATGGAAAATTTTCATTTTGGATGTTCATTATGTTGTTATCTGTCTCATTCGGAGAGCTGATGTGCTGCCTCAAATGAAAAATATGATGATTTCATTTCATATTCAACATAAATAGTTTCATTTTTTACTTTTTTTTGTCCAAATATATCTGTATCTTTCACAAGTCAAATTTTTTTAAAATTTTAAAATTAGCTTTTTCTTATCTATTGCTTGGTAATTCAAGCAATTCCTTTCTTATCTGCAATGCAACTACTGATAATTGATTGCTTAAAGCTGCTGCTACCTGGCAAGTAACAGTTTCATATGTTAAATTTAGGTTCATTTATAATATTCTTATATTTAATTGTTTTCTAATGTAATTTAAGCTTCTATAAATAAAATAAATCTTCATATATAAGCTGATGTGTATATCTCCCTAATTCTTTTCCCGATTCGTTTCATAATTTTTCACTCACGCTCTACAATTTTGAATGGAACTTTGAGTAATGTGTAATGTATGAGAGTTTTGTATTAGGGTCCCTACTATTGCTCAGTGGGCGCCGATAAATCATTCGGACGCGACATTGTTGATGCTCATTATAAGGCTTGTCTATATGCCGGCGTTAACATTAGTGGCATCAATGGAGAGGTGATGCCTGGTCAGGTAATCAGTTGCCTTTTTTTGTTTCTTTTCCAAATTACTAATAATAATGGCTTTAACGGCTATTTTTTGTTGGTTTCAAATTTGAAAACCATGTATATTTGCAGTGGGAGTTTCAAGTTGGTCCATGTGTTGGAATTTCGGCTGGTGATCAGTTGTGGGTTGCTCGATATTTACTTGAGGTAAATACTTATATTTTTTTTTGTTTTTTACCCATTTTTCATGCATAAGTTTATGGTACCGAATAGTTATAAATGTAAATAGAAAAGTTTTGGTGATAGATATGTAATTCATAAGAAGTGTGAGGTATGTATGTACATTTCCCTTTATTTTATATGGAAAACATGCTTAGGAATTTATCTATTATTACGTATTTTCTCTTAAAAAGATAGACTTAAAGCATTGTTTCTGACTAGCTTTTTTTAAAAAAATGTAAACAGAGAATTACTGAGATTGCCGGTGTGGTTCTTACCTTTGATCCAAAGCCCATTCAGGTTTGCTATTTGAATAAGAAATATGTAGCTATTTATCATAGTGAAATTAATATTGTTTTCTATAGTTTCATAACTTGTGTATTATATCAAATGGTGCTTTCAGGGAGACTGGAATGGAGCTGGTGCTCATACTAACTATAGGTAAAATTTTCAATTACATCTATTATTTTCTGCTTAGTTTAAAAAATTATTTCTTTTTTATTATTTAGAATGTTTTGATTTTCTGATTTTGGGGGTTTCTATTTTCAGCACCAAGTCAATGAGGAATGAAGGAGGCTTCGACGTCATAAAAAAAGCGATCGAAAAACTCAGCCTTAAGCATAAGGAACACATTTCTGCCTATGGCGAAGGCAATGAACGCCGCCTCACAGGGAAGCACGAAACTGCTGATATCAACACTTTCTCATGGGTATGTTCTTGAATTTCATAATCATGATATTAAATTCTTTTTTTTATTCAACTTCAAATATTATTTTTGCTTGCAGGGCGTTGCGAATCGTGGGGCTTCCGTTCGTGTTGGCCGTGAAACTGAGAAAGAAGGAAAAGGTCAGTTCTTAGTTTTTTAAATTTTTTTTAAATTTCTTTTGAAGTTTCATTTAGGTTTAAGTCTTCATTATACTCTTACTAATTATCATCATTACTCAAATCCTTAACATCACATGAAAATATCGCAAATATTATTTCTTAAAAGTAAAATACATATTTTCATTCATATATTTATGAACCAAATGCGTTGTAAGTGTAAATATTAAACTTTATGTAAATGCATAAGAACTGAAAGATGCTCATTGTAATTGAAAACAACTTGAAATGTGCATTATATTAAGCACTTTATTTTTATTTCCAGGCTATTTTGAGGATAGGAGGCCGGCTTCAAATATGGATCCCTACGTTGTTACATCTATGATCGCAGAGACTACCATACTGTGGAAGCATAATTAAGAGAGCATACATATCTCCCATTATTTCATCCATCTAATTCATGTTTTGTGTTCTTTGCATATGAACCAAATCATTATCAATTTGATTTGGTCTTCATTATTGCCTGCTTTATCTTTCACCATTTTCCTTCCTGGGAGAGTGGATTTTTACTTTGCAGCATTGGTTTTCATTTGTCATGCTTCGAATACTGTTTTCTTATGGTGGTGTAATGAATACTTTTACTGTGGCTATAATGCAGTTTCTTTCTTTATTCTCTTTTAGAATAAATGGCTTTTATTTATTTATTTTTGAAATTTTTATGAAGATCATAAACGTATAATATGATATCTTCACCATTTAATTCTGTATATTTTAATAAATGGCTTTAATTGTATGCAGTGTTACATGGCTCTAAAGTATACATTAATTCTGTATATTCTTTTGGAATCTACTTTTTCCAAAAGAATATATATTTATAATTTATTACACATTTGCAAAATCAATCTTTTATAAGACCAGAGGATGAAAATGCAAAATAACTTTTAAGGCTCTTCTTCTTTAGCTCTGGGGTAAAGGGTTTTAATGGCTTCTCTTCTTAGAAAGACAATGGGACTGTCTTTGTTTCTTGTGTTGGTGAGCTTGAAACTTAGTTTTGGGGCTGTATATGAGGTTGGGGATGATAAAGGTTGGACTGTGAATGATAAGTCTTACTACACTGGTTGGGCAAAATCAAAGAAATTTCATGTGGGGGATGTACTTTGTAAGTATTGGTTTTTTTACTATTTTTTATTTTAATCATGATAAACTTTTTTTTTCTATGAAGTATTGTTTTTTTTTTTAATAGTTTGATTTATTTATATGTGAAATTCTCTTGAAAGAATGGTGAAATATGTGAAATATAATTAAAAAATCATCAAAATATTTTCATAAAATTGCAGAGAAGAAATTTTTTTTAGAAAAATTTTGTTGACAACAAAAAACACTTTATTATAATTAAAATTATTAAAATATAAATATAAATTAATAAAATAAATTATTAAAAATAATACAAATAAAAAATTTAATAACATTAAATTTTAGAAATAATTTTTATATTGTTTAATTTTTTTTAAAAAAAATTAAATTGTAATAAAAAATAATCAAAATTAAAATGTATAAAAATAAGTATATATTATTTTATAATCAATCAATTATTCATTAATAAAATAAAATGATCATTAAATTCTTTGATGTTGAATTCTCATGTATTTATATATCTAACATCAACATTTTGATTTTTCTTTTAGACCATCAAAACCTTTCAGATCACATCTAATATTAAAGTGAAATACACATTTTCATATATATATATATATATATATATATATATATGTACCATATATTTAAAAATTGGAATTTATGTGCTAGATGTATAAATGCATAAAAATTTATGGATATTTTGCATAAAAAATATATATTTTTAATTATAAACATTAAATTTTTTTTAAAAAATTAATTCATTAATTTAGGACAAGTGTGTCCTATGGGATATATATATATATATATATATATATATATATATATATGTATTGTAATATTGTTTAAATCAGTATGTATCGAAGTTGTATTGGTGTCCTCCATGCATCTAATTATAAGTATCATAAAAATATATTTCTTTTCGATTCTATATTTGTGGCCGAATGACACATTGTATTGTATGTAATTATAGAAAAAAATGATGGATAAATAAGCATTTCATTCTTGGATATCAACCCGCATCAGCATGCATGAGATTTAAAAATCAGAACAATTTATTTAAATATTTAATTCCTTTTAGCTTTACTTCTACAATTATTTTGTTGGTAATGCGACTAACTAATTAAGGCGTGCAGTGTTTCGTTACGACAAGCAAATCCACAATGTAGTGCAAGTGGACAAAAAAGGGTATCACAAATGCAATGCGGCAAAGCCGATTGCTGGCTTCAACACAGGCCATGATTCTGTAACCATAAGGTCTGATGAGCACCTGTATTTCATATGTGGAACTCCAGGCCACTGTGAAGCTGGCCAGAAGCTTAGAATCAAAGTGTCCAGATCTAAAGTGCCCGTGGTCGAGCCACCGCCGCCGATAAATCAAGCCAGCTTTGCTCGTGGCGGATCGTGTCCTCTTCTGCTTTGTATTGTAATTTTGGTCATTGGTTTATTTTGAGTCGAGGAATGCAATCATGTGTGTGATGGATTTATAATTGCGTTGATAATTATGCATATTTAAGGGCTTATTTGAAATTAGTTCTATGGTCTGTTTTTTTGAAGTCGGGTGTATTTAGTGTATTTAGGGCTGTCAAAGAGGCCCGTTATTCACTAACAGGTCGTGTTCGGCTCGTTAAGTAGCTCATGTTCAATTCGTTCGTTAAGGATTTGTTTGGGATCACTTTCTGTTTTCTATTCTTAATTTTCGTTTTCATTATATATATTTTTTAATTTTCTATTTTTATTTTTAGAAAATGTGTTTAGTACTGTTATGATTTATTGCTTTTAAAAATAAAAATAAAAAAAAATATTAAACAAGTTCAAGACCCCACTCGGAACCATACGTCTTTCGTTGAAAAGCAGTCGGAACCGCTGTCTGTCTCTGTCATAAATTCATCTACAAGCCTCCGGTCAACTGTCGATCTACTATTGAACCTCTGAATTCGTCTGAAAAGCACGTTGGACCACCTGTTGCAAAAAAAAAAACTGACAGTACAAGCCAGATTTGTTGCTATCAAAGTTTAACCAGGTTCCGATCACAAATCCGAAGATCTGATACTATTTATTATGCTTAAACGAACACAACCACAATCAAACACAAATAATTTACATGGATCAACATTTAGTTGATTCACCTACATCAATGGAGAGAAAAATTTCACTAGCATAGGATGGGGAGAAAGAAAAAAGACTGTGTTACAATTTGTGCACTTTTCACCATAGCTCTCTCATGAACCCTAAGGGCCCGTTTGGGGCAGTTTATTTGGTGCGGTGGCGTTTTGAAAACGCACCTGACCTGTTTGAGTAAACTGCATTTTGACATCTTATGTATTTTCAAAACGCAGAAAACAATGTTTTCACACCGCCCTTGCATTTTCACACCACACCTATGTAGGTGCGGTGGTAGCTTTTCGGCTGTGGTCTGACTTTTAGAAAAAAAATAAAAAATTTGTAACAGTAATCACACCTAGCTTATCAACAGATTAGTTTTAATCAACTTATCAACAAATTATTAACCCAAGTCTCTTTTATAAAGAATGATTAGTGCATTCAAGTAAATAAAATCAAAATACTAAATTACCACTAATTATAAAAAAAAATCATATATACAACAATGCCTACCATTGTTGTAAAATTAATCACGACGTCCCTTTAGAAATCTATAATATTACAATAATTTTTCCTATTTCATAATATGTTGATAAATTAAAAGTTTGGGATGTAAAATCACAATTTGAAGGGGAATTTATTATTACAATCATCATCACGATATCCGTTGGCACCCATTAAGAGTTATTGACTAATTATTTCCCCATCGATCATAATTTTCATCGTAGGAGAAATTTATATCTCTTTTGTGATGAAATGTTCCTAGGTTTTGTTGGGGCAAAGTACAAGAATTACGCGAGTCACTTCAGTAAGGTGGTTGATAGTTTTGTCTTTCAATTAAGAGATCACGTGTTCAATGCCTTCTGTATACGATGGGCGCGAGTTTCCGATTAATTTCACTTAAATTTTCTAAAAAGAGTAAAAAAATTAACTTTAGAAATAGAAGTCATTTGGGGTTCTAGAAATACACAAAACATGCACAATTTGTTTTTTTTTTTTTTTTTGTTGTTCTTGACTTTTTTAACATAATTTAAAAGTTATTATTAAAGGAAATATAGATATATTTAAAACAAAATTACAAGAATTCATCAGACCATTTTGATTTTTTAAATTCTATAAAAAATCTTCTAGGGATCTAGTAGTGATCATAAGTTCTTTTAGTTAGTTTAGATTTTACTACAAACAAGTGTCCACAATATTTATTTTTATTTTCTAGAAAATTTGTTGATTTTCATTTTGAAGAATTTAAGCTCATGAAAGATGATAATTTTCCTCCCCATAATAGAATTTGCCTCCAAAAAGTGGTGAAACATTTTTATGTTAATGGGCATAGCCATGAAGCAACACCTAAACATCATCATTCTAGTTGTGAGAGTATGCCATTTCTCCATAAAAAAGTGATGGATTGACATGTTTGGATACATCTAAATTGAGAAGATACCAAAAATGGTTAAAAGCTAACCTTCTGGTTTTAGTGCTTGCTATTCATTCAATGAGGCTGTAGTCTTCTAGAAAAGTGATCATATGTCTTTATTGGGACAAATATGTGTAAAAAGTATTGTGATATATATGAAATTTAAAATGAAAGAAAGATCTTTAAAGAAAGCGAGAAAATTAGAACGAGAAAATTTATATCGGAAAATAGTGACACAGCAGAACACACAGCTTTATGTGGTTCGGCAAATTGCCTACGTTTACGGAGTTATAGAGGATTTTACTACTTGAGGAGTTTACACCAGTCATTACCTCGACTTACAAGAGAGATATCTCACTTTCTTGCTCTCTTCTTCTCTGAGATACACCGAAGAAGATAACCTTATAAGAGAAATAAACTCTATTTCTCTTCTACCATAAACCATTAAGAAGAAGCCAAGAGAGAGCAATCTTCTTCTTCTTCCTTCTTCCTCAAGGAACTACTGCTTGCACTTTTCTTCCTCTGTCCCGAGAAGCCCGAAGAAGACAAAAAAAAGGCCGCGTCAATTCTGAAGGAGAGTCGCGCGATACCTTGCAGTACCTTTCTTCCTCTTATGTTTCCTTCCGTAACTTACACCAGCAGTTTTTTCACCGAAGTTGGGAGGCTCCGATTCTCGACTTAAAGGTGCGAAGCATCGCTTCACTTTACAGGACAGGAGTGAGAGCGAGCACCGATTCGCGAAAACAAAAGCAGATGCGGGAACAGTGGAGGCGAGAGCAGGCAACGCCATGTTTTGCGATCAATAGCGGAAGTGGGAGTTGGGGTCTTGGCGGTCGCGGGAGCGAGAAGACGGACAGAGATCCAAACTCAACACAAAGAAAATCACAATTTTTTCTCTCAAGCACTAATTTCATTTATGAAAAGAAGTCGAACTTCAAGCTCAAGATGAAGGTTGGTTGAAGTGGTGATGATGTGCCATCAACATGACATTGTGGAGAAAATTGTGAAAAGAGATTCAATCAAAAATGCTACTTGTTGAAGAAGCAATTGATTTTTTCTTTTTTTCCTAATTTTCAATTAATTTACACAACCTTCATGTGATTTTTCCCTTCTTTCTCTTCTCACTTTGGTTGAACTTTTTTCCTTAGGAATTTAGTCCTATTTGAGCATCTTTTTAGGAGCAAATAATAGGTGTGGCGACCACACATTCGAATCACAATTCGAACAGCTTTCATAAGATACACAGCGTTGTGATCACACAGCCAAACAATTCAGTAGAATTCAGCCCTTCCCACTTCACATAAATTCTACTTTTATTCCATAACAGTTTACTTATAAGTTCACATTTTAATAAATCCTACTCTATAAATATTCTGAAGTTTGGCTAAGTCTTAGCCAGATACAGTGATACATTCATTAACAGTGCCGCATCTGCTAAGAGTTCTAGAACACAAAAATTTTACCACTAATGAAAAGTGTTCTCAATGAAACATATTCACAAGTTTAACAGATTCAAAAAAAAAAAAAAAACAATTTTTCCATCATGACAAAAATTATAAAATGAAAAACATTACGTAGAACGCACAAGGGATTAGCGAAGATTTATCCCATTTTTCTGAACTAGTTCTTCTACTGTGCAGACACAAATGTCTCCAAGGATTGTTCAGAGACTGAAGCCAAGCCCTCCATCAACCTAACAATCTCAGCTGCATCATCCAAATAGTACTTCGCCTTGCTCGGCTTTCGCCCCACCGTGCACGCAAAAACCTCTGCTGAGGGCGACAACGAAGGGCCGTCGACGGCTCCGGTTATCACTTCGAACATATCTTCGTCGGATCTGTCATCTCCTATGCAAAGCACAAAGTCTGGTAACAATTCTCTCTCTCTCATGGTTGAAAGCAGCCGCTCCGCCACAAGACCTTTGCTTACTCCCTTCACATCAAGAATTCATACAGGGTTAAGCTCATACATCATATAGATTTCTTATAATTCAATGGGGGTGTCAAATCGGGTTGATGGGTCGACTTTGGGTTTGACACAAAATTGATCCAATCCAAAATTACTTGACCCGAAACTGATCCTCATTAAGCCCACAGACCAAAACCCGACCCAAATAACCCATTAATCTTTTAACATCAGCCATAACAACTAGTCGAGTCAAACTTGGGTTGATTTCAAATCAATCTCAAGCTCATGGGTCAATTTTGAGTCAATTTTATGTTAGTAGGTCGGATTCAGGTCAATTTCGACTTGGCGGTTCAATCGGAACCCGTCCCCAAAACTTAAACTGATTACAATTCCTAACTTGAACTTTGTCTGGAAATTATTCGGGATAATCTGAACTCAAATTTTTCGAGTTTGAGTTTTGAGTTTGTGTCAAACTAATGAAGGGTCAATTTTTGACACCGAAAAAAAAAAAAGAAAAAAAAAAGAAAAAAAAAAAAACTTAAAATCATGAAGTTAAACGGTAGTTACAGACCTGAGGCTTGACTTCTACATTGTTCTGACCAGCCTTCACTGATACAGGCTCGTTAGTGAGCACGCTTTCAAGATGATCGAGAAGCTCCTTAGCTTGGCAAGATCCAAAATCAGGGTCTGCATCCTCATAGCACCAAACCATGGAGGTCTCCTTGTCTTCAATGGTGGATCCATCAGTGGTTTCAGTGTACAGACTCATTACAGGCTCTGCAATTGCCTTCCAGCTACAGTGAGCCACTGGAACGCATGTCTTCCATTCATCATCTCTCTTTAGCCTGCGAGAAGAAGACGGATTAATGTCACGCCATTGTTGCATTTAAAGGAATAGAAGGCGCAGAAACTCATGTACCTTAGAAAATAGCCATGCTCGGCGGCAATGCCCAGATTTTCACAGGGTGAAAACCAGTCGCTGAGCGTGCGACGGCTACGAGCGCTAACGAGGAAGACGACATTGTTCTTATCACGGCACAGAATGTTAAGCATCTCGATTGTTCGCTGGCTAGGGCTCTTATCGATCGAAGCTTGAGGAACGAGAGTGCCATCATAATCCAACAGAATTGCTCTAGTGCACGTTCTTCGGTAAGCGGATACAATATGCTCCATTGACAGCTTCCTGAAATTCGGATCGAGAGCGACAACTCGGAACCCTAGACCGAAACCGATCCCCCAGCATCTCCTCCTTATATGATCCCTGCAAGTTCTCTCCAAATCTTGAAGAAAACTGTTAGCCCAATAGCCGACATCATGAGTGCTCACATATCTATAGTGTTTTTCATGCCTCAACTGTTTTTCTGCTTCCGGCATTTCCAATGCGGAATCCATGGCGTCTGCTACAGCGTCGATGTTCCATGGATTCACCCGAATAGCCCCGCTCAGAGACGGGGAGCATCCAATGAACTCTGATACCACCAACATGCTCTTTCTAGGCTTTGAAGGACTATGACCCAGTGCTTGATCCAATCTCTCGTTCCCTTGTCGCGAGACGATGTATTCATAAGGTATGAGATTCATTCCATCCCTCACTGCAGTCACCAAACAACAGTCTGCCACCACATAATATGCCACCCGCTCGTAGAACTGCAACGGCTTATCGATCATGATTACGGGATCATACCCCGGTCGGCCAAAGGTTTCGTTAATCCGTTTCACCATTGCATGGCTTTCTTCCTGCACCTCCACCACATCCTTCCCCTTCCCTCTTGCTGGATTTGCGATCTGAACCAGCACAACTTTACCTTGACATCCAGGGTGTTGCAGCAGAAGTTGCTCAAAAGCTAAAAGCTTCAAGCTGATTCCTTTGAATATATCCATGTCATCAACTCCAAGCAACAATGTTCTACCCTGGCTGGAGAACTGCTTGATAAGTTCTAAAACCTTCGTCTCAGTACCTGGCAAACTCAGAACTGATTTCAGCTGCCCCATATGAATCCCAACTGAGAGAATTTTAATACTCACAGTTCTACCATAGTACTCCAAACAAATATACCCCCTTTTTGATTCATATGTAAGCCCGAGCATCCGGCTGCAACAAGATAAGAAATGGCGGGCATAATCAAAAGTGTGGAATCCAATTAAGTCCGAGTTGAGTAGAGCTCGGAGAATCTCTTCACGGACAGGTAGAGTCCTGTAAATCTCTGAAGAAGGGAATGGGCTATGGAGGAAAAATCCGAGCTTTACTCTGTTAAACCTCTTCCTGAGAAAGGTGGGGAGAATCATGAGATGGTAGTCATGAACCCAAACAAAATCATCATCTGGGCTGATAACTTCCAAAATCTTATCAGCAAACACCTTGTTTGCAGATACATATGCCTGCCACAGAGATCTATTGAATCGACCACCAAGCTCTGCGGATAGCGGAAGCATGTAATGGAACAGAGGCCATAGATGCTGCTTGCAGAAGCCATGGTAGTATTTAGATAAGAGATCAGGTGGGAGGAAGGTTGGTACGCAGTTGAACTTCTCTAATAAGACCTGCGACACTTCATCTTGCTCGGAGAGAGGGATTTCATAGCTGAGGCAACCTACATAGATGAACTCCATACCTCCTGCCCTGTCACCAATCGCATCCCTGAGCTGAAGAAGAAGGGAATCTTCATCCCAAGAGAAGGTCCATCCGCGGCCGCCACCCTGGTTTCGTTGGGCGCGGATTGGGAGCTGGTTGGCGACAATGATGGTGCGGCCATTAGGACCGGAAGAAGATGATCCGCCGTCTATATCATCCGTGTCGGAGGAGGAAGAGGAGTCTATATCCGGTACAATGCCGGAAGCAGTGACGACGCGGGGAATCAGGCGCCTGAGTTGCCCTAAGGAAGATGGCTCCCCAGAAGCGAGCTCCAGGAGGTCCGAGTAAGATCTTGACGCCATTTTAAACCCAAACGTTTCCCCCCTTTACACAGTTGGACAGTAGTCGAAGACTCAACAACAAAGCGTTTTCTTTATAGAAGAGAAAGAGGGTTCTCGCAATCCTTTTTCTAGAAGAAAGCTAGGGTTTTGACAGAACTTTGAAAAGGAATGGAGACTGATAAGTTTGGGAAACTTCCGCGAAGAATCGAATCAAACCGAGCATATAAAATCTCAACCAGAACACCGAAAAGACTTGTTTTTTATTCAAGAGTAAAGGTTCAAAAACAGGATGAAGCTAAGCAGTTTGGATCGGCAGCAACCAGAAAGCCGCGCAGAAGTAGAAAGAGAGCGGCGATGAGATCGATTACACGGATTCATGCTGCTAAAGGAAGAAGCTTTAGCTTTCCAGATCAAGCAAAAGAGAAGATATTGATAAATTGAATCATTGATAGCTACCCAAATCCCACACGCCAATCCTCTGAGCTCCGGCGACAGCTTCTTTTTTATCTAATCGAAAAAATAGGAGCGTAAAAGCTTACAGCGATGGATTTATAGAACGAGGAGCTCAAAGCTGGAGACAGGGACTACTTTCAGTCCGGGTCCGGATGTTAATTTCACTCCGTTTTAGTAAAAGAACGCACTCGCTTGAGAACCACTCGTGCTGATTCGTCCGCGTGCAGTCGGAGATGAGGGAGGGTGAGAATATAATTTAAAGGACGCCGGTCCTTTTTTATCTAATTTTAATAATTGTCGTATTTTTGGATTTCCAGCACGGATTTGTTACGGTGCAAATAGAAATTACTTTTATGCCCTTCTGATGTCGAGATAATTCGCCGGGAAGTGGATGAGGCTCGAATGGGCCCACGGCAGACGTACTCTTCCAACGTAACGGCACGTGATTGACACGTGATTTGGTGCTTGCGCGTTGCCAGAAGGAAGGATACACGCGTGGCCTCTCGCTTCCTCCAGGAGTCACTGGGGGGGCATGGGCGTAACTAGCTAAAGCGGTCCAACCCAGACCTTATTCGCAGTTTGATTAATTAAATTTGGCTTAGCAAAATAATAATTTTTAATTAAGTACTCTTAGTCGAATGGGCCCAATGCTAAATAAGTATTTTTACACGGTTTGGCGTTAAGTTGATTCGCCAAAGTTCTCGAGGAGGGCTTGGGTTACAACTCGACACTTCCCTACCATACATCATCTCATAAACTCTTAAGTCCCTTTTATAAAGAGAGATTATGACATACAATTAAATAAAATCATTAGATAAAATTATGCCTAATTACAATAATAATTATTTTATTGTAACTATGGCATGCAATGACAATAAACCACAAAGCGCTTGATGACCGGATTGAACCGTATATTCCTCAGAATGATCGTTTAACTTGCCCTGGAATGAGAGAATGCTGCAATTCACTGGTAGTCACTATCGGGCACGATCAGGACCGGGTGACCTTTGTCCGGAGATGGTGTGCCTCTGGTGACTTCGACAGAATCCTTCAGCCACAGGAGGGTACGCATTAGCGCCATACACTCCCACAACATCACAGGACATGCGATATTTGTGACATCAAAAATCGATACCTACAGTCTTTGTTGTCAAATCACCATCATCATCACGGTCACCCTAACTTGCCTATCACCAATAATATTGTTGAATCATTGATAATGGATCCAAATAGTCATCACACAACCCATGATAATACAGATTTAACAGCTACATTACTGATAATATTAAACAATTTAATACCAAATTGTAAATTTACATGACTCTTGTACTTAGCCAGCAGCAACATTTCGTTCAAAGAAAGCTTCGATCATAAATAAGGCTGGGATTGGTGGGCATTTATAAACTTGAATAAACCTAGCTCTCAATCTAGTCCGAACTTGATTCACACCCGAACATGCACCCAACTGGTTGTGATTGTGTACAAAATTGTGACATAGCTACCATCCAATTTTCATTATTCACATATCTAATGCTTAGGCTTTGATTTCTTACAATTATACCACTAAAATTATTCATACCACATAAAAAAAATATCACTAATTTAATTTTTTTTAAAAATAAAATACATTTTTTTTTTCCGGCCATATATGTAGAAATTGAACTTTAGTTATTAGGTATATAAATACATAAGAATTTAGTGGTATAAAATAAAAATTTTTATGTGACAAATTCGACTGTTAAAAATGTCATGATTTGAATTCAAATGATTTTAAATCAGATACTAACAAATGTAGTAAAAAAGTTTTGTAATACTATTTTTAAGACCAATTGACCATCAAATTTGAATGCTTGAAATCAAAATGAGTGTCAGAACAAGATGAATCTATAACAACAATAACAAGCATTTATCCCACTAAGTAGAGTCAGCTACATGAATCTGTTTTCTCCCTCATGCATTTAACCCTTAAATTTAAACATAAAATTGGCTTTTAAATTCACACAATGTTAATTTTTTATAAAAAAGCAATTTAATATCATCTCCATGAGTTTATGCTTATGGACAATAAGATTTATAAAGGTTTTTTTGTCCTTATTTATGAGGCATATGTGACATTTTTATATGTCAAATAATATATTAAATGTCACTAATCAAAATGTAAATTTTATCCCCTTTAAAAGAAAAAAAACAAAAGGAGGACCTTAGAAAGAACAAAAGTAATATTTATAAGCCAATTTATTTTATAGGATTAGATTCCCAACCCAATTTCTACAAAGTCAATTTTGTAACCAATCATGGTGCTCCTCAAAGGAATAACTAACTTGTATTATAGAGACCAATGCAAAGCCTTCATTCTTCACACAATAAGGGCCAAAAGGGAAACTAGAAAAAGATAGGTTTGCAATTTTATCCCTTATCTTCTCCTCTTTGCTTTACTCATAAAGAAACAAAGTATAATGCTTTTTGTAGAAAGAGGCATATAATGTGATGCCTTAGCCCAATAGAGATCTCAAATAAAATAAACTAAAATTATAGGATTGGTGATATGTATTATTTGTGTTATGTGTCATTTGTTTATTTATGTATTTATTAGTCTAATAAAGTTTTAGCTTATATTTTAAATATTATAGTTTTATACCAAAATATAAGTATGCATGTTTAAGAAATATTTATATATGAGTGAGACGTAATCTTCTAAAGTGGTATGACTAGCTTGAGGCAGACACACTATCGAAAAAGATCATCAATACATAAGAGCACATGTGTCTATTTCTATTTATGATGTCGTCTGACAATCACGTCGAGATCTTTTTATCAAGGCACCGTTGACATGCATTGTACCGTACGGGATGTAATTTTATAATTCTATTTGATATGTCGCCAAACAAAATTCCATCATCCGACATGAATCTCGAAGGATAACACAAATCTCAAGACGATATTTTAAGCAAGAAACATTTAAATCTTGATGAAAAGTCATCCAGAGCTTCGATTTCAACAAAATTATAGTCAAACTGACCGACTCGATGAGATGGACCTAATGATATGAAAATTAGTCCAATTTGAGTCAAATCAAGCTCAGATCAAGTTATTAAAACACCATTGGAAGATGTCTGGACACATTTGGAAGGTCAAACAGATGTCAACACTGTTAAGTTTATACTCGAATAGAGCAGCTCGACAAGACGAATCGAACGAGACCAATATTACTCAATTCCGACATCGTTAAGCACTCAAACATCCATTAAACACGACATGATCAAAGGAAATTCTCTGGATTGTTCGATCAAAATGATTGATATTCCTAAATTAATTGCACCCAGAACACTATAAATAGACCCCCACCCCTCACATGAGGTGAAGCTGAAATGTAGAGAGAGACTTGAAGCTTCATAGAGAACTGGAAGCTCTGAGAAGAAGTTGAAGTCCAACACCATCCCGACCGTCGTCGGCCACCGCCGATCACCATCGACCACCGCCAGCCGTAGTCGACACCCGTTGATCGTCATCATCCACTACCGACCGTCACCGTCGATCAACACCAACTAGACGCCGTCAGTCATCGTCATGGGATATGAGCTCATCACTACGGTCCATGTGTCAACAACAGTCTGTGTGGTTCATAGCTCGAGCAGCTCCCGACCCTAGCTCCCACGGCCTATGAACGTCATTCATACTGGCCCCTACGATCTACCTGATTTATAGCTCGTGCAGCTCCCGACCCTAGCTCCCACGGCCTATGAACGTCATTCACACTGGCCCCTACGACCTACCTGATTTATAGCTCGTGAAACTCCCGACCCTGGCCCCCCGTGGCTTACAGACGTCAGTCATACTCGCCCAAACGACCTACATGGTCATCAACTCATGCAGCTCCCGACTTCGGTCCTCGTGGCTTACATATATCATTCATAATTGTCTCTACGGCCTACCTGACTCACAGCTCGTGCGACTCTTGACTCTGGCCCCGACAGCCTTCGAACGTCATTCACACTCGCCACTACGGTCTATGTAGCCCACAACTCCCGTAATTTCTTATTGCAGTTTCTTTGGCCAATCAACGCTTATGTAGCAACCGTCTACAACACTTATGACAGACTACTACATTCACAACAATCAACAATGACCCTTGCAACATGTTGTCACCAAGAACTATAGTCAGATTATAGTTATATAACTTTGTAATTCCATCTTCCTTAATTTAGGAGAAGAATGAACATGTGTACTCTTCTTTCATAGTGAATTATTTCAACTGGACTAGACCACATGGTTTTTCCCCCTTCAAGGGGTTTTCACGTAAAAAGTCGATGTGTCTCTTCCTGCTTACTTCTCTTTTTTATCTGTGTATGTTGAATTCTCCTGCAACACTAAGACGATAATCCATTACTCTTCCGCTGTGAATTTTCTAGCACGCATCACTATTTTATCTTGCCTTCTCTTATGTTTGAAGGAGAACATGAATTTCTACTAACATACCAACTATATCTTCATGTACATTCCTCCTAAAACATGATTATAGACAATATAGGACCATACGTCCTAAAAATATTCAACAATAACATTATTTGATATAAAAAAAATATAAATAAATAGTTTGAATTTTTTACATGTAAAAGGTCATGGAATAAAATTTTAATTTGGAAGAAACAAAGAATTGTTATTTTATGTATTAAAAAAAAACTTGGTGTGTGGATAAGCTGATGTGATAGTCATTATCGAAATGCTTAAAATTTAATTACTTAATTAATTTGCTGATAACATTTATTAATATGCCGACAATTTGTATTAACATGCTAGCAGACTTTGTTAGCAACTTAATTAGGATGATAATAATAACAGTCAGCTTTTGTTATTTAATAATAACTTTAAGCTGTGACTGCAAAATCCTTAATATAAAGTTCATTTTATAAGTATGTACATGAATTAAGAATAGGGTTAGGGGCAATTTGGTGGACAAGACTAAAAATGTCATTATAAATGACTCATCGGCTTCCTCATTTGACACGCTTCAATTGACAAATAAATAAATAAATCTTTTTATATAAAGTATTGAATTAATACACTTATTATTCAATTTAAAATGTGACCGACAGGCTAATTAAAAATACTGTAATAAATGTGAAAATTTATTTCGTATGGATGGCATATCCAGAGATGCATGCGCAGTCTGATCTTCACATTTCATCTGACCAAATTTATATTTTGGTGGGTCCATTTTTTTAAAATTGGTAAAAGCTCTGATCAACGGTGGAGATCGGACGACACATGCATCTCTACATAAGCCGTCAAAATGGAATAATTTTTCAATAAACGATAGACTTGATAAAGCTATAAACTTTTTTTTGGAAGATTTACATAAATACGGTTTAATTACTATGTATTTACATATCTAACACCTCAACTTTCATTTTTTACATGCATGCCACCTTACCTAAGCTTGAAAATGTGTATTTTACGATTTAAAAACGTAAAAGGATGACATTTGCGGTTTGACATAAAAAATTTAAGGGGTATTAATGTAAAAAGTCAAAATCTAGATGTTATGAATATATAAATAGTTAGGAATTCAGTGCATGTTTGCCAAAATCAAATTAGGCAGTATAATTACATTAAACATATTAAGCTTAAGCCTAAATTCTTGCTCGGATGAGTAGAACAAGTGATATTCTTACTCCAAATTGGCATGTTGACCACATTATATATTTACATATCTAACCACCTAATTTTAAAATTTATATACATAATCCCCAAATCTTTGACGTCACATCAAAAATACAACTATTTTCATGCAAATAGTTTTAATTATAGTTCTAGTAAATAAATAAATAATAATAATAAAATAAAGGATGGTTCTCCATGCTCAATCCACACATCCATGAATATAGAAAGCAATGGGAAATTGCAAAAATAAGGAATCTTAAATTAATGAAAGATGACAAGTGGGCACATGCTTGGAAATCTTATTCTAAGGAATGGATAAGGAATGACCGGTCGGAGTTAAGTACGACCCAAAAAAGTCTTCTTATCCATTGGGAGCACTAAATGGCCCCTAATATTAATGTCAATAATGCCCATTCCATTCATTCAAATTCCTTTGTGGGAAGGATTCCTTTTTTTTTTTTTTTTTTTGTTTCACGCTATTTTCCTTTTTTGAACGGGAATGTAAATTTGGATTTTAGTCAATATATTGGATTTGGGTCTTGGTGTAGCTTGTTCAAACGGATGTCTAGGTGAGATGAATCAAATGATGTCACACGGATGTCTCGGTGAGATGAACCATCGCTTGGTCATCATTGCAGTCGTCACCAAACGAATTTTGCTTCGCCGACGTCGTTGTCGTCGTAGTTGGTTGTAGTTGCTAACCACCATGGCTAGACCATCAGTGCTTACCTATCAACCCTGCTGTCGTCAGACCACCATTGCCATCAGTGACATTGACATCAGAAAATGGTTCCCAGCTTTGATCTTCCATCACTATAACTGAGTTGCTGTCACTTTCCCTATATTTTATTTGACGACTCTAGTGAAACTCAATTCAACTACTCTCACTCTTGTGATATTAATTTCTATTGTTGAAGAGCAAACGAAGTCTTATGAATTATGTCTGCGTAGTGAAACCATTTCAAATATGGTTAAGCCAAGTGGTATTTCCCCTTTTGAGTTTTCATGTAAAATTTTTTGTCTTTTTTTGACAGCTCTATTTTAAAACGTGTATGTGTGATAAATCTTTGCACAATGCTGAGACGTTAATATATCAATTTTTATCGTAAAATATTCCACTTGTAACAAGTACAATCAAATATATCCGAATACAAATCATTATACCCAATCAATTTGACTCGAACCCAAATAGTAATCGGGTCAAATTTAAGTTATTTGTTTCAAATTCAAGCATACCCAATAAAAATCAAGTATATATTTTAAAGCCGAACTAGACTTAATAATAATCCAAAATTTTGTGGGGAACAATCATAAGTTTAAAAGGGCCGTTTGACTTGCCAAAAAGGAATATAGCTATATATATATATATCATAAATCGTTTTACATGCCAATTGCATGAATAATATCATGATTGATCTACTTTGAATGACTGAGTCTAAGCACTAAAGTAGAGAATATATGGAAATCATAGTAGATTTGAAGAAACGAAGGGAAGCGGGTCCAGAGAGAAAAAGGCATCCAACCCACTTGGGCCATTTTCTCTATTTTACATCTATAATTCGTGCACAAAACTGTTAATCATTGCTGACAATGCACAGTCTCCGGTAAGGGCGTGATCGAGTTGAGTTGGGCTCGAGTGATCATCAATTTAAACTTAGACTTAATTTATTCATATAGATTTGAGTTGAGCTCAAGCAACCCTCAAACTCGAGCTGAATTCTACGAGTTTGAATTAGCTCACGAGTAGGTTTGAGAGAAAATATTAATTTAAACTAATGATATAATTAAATGATAAATAAAATAAATATTTATAAGATAATTAATAAAAAATCACTTCATATTAAATATAAAATATATTTTTTAAAATATTTTATTTAATTTAATTTTTATTTTAAAATTAATATATTTTAAACGAGAGCCAACGACTAGAGCTTAACTCACTAGCTCATTGAGTTTAATTCAAGAGTCACTCACTAGCTCATTGAGTTTAATTAAAGAGTCACTTATGAGTCTGCCCAAGCCAGACTCACACCCCTGATTTCCTGCCATATTTGTTTCAAAACCATTCTCTAATCTCATCATGACATCATAATTACGTGTCAGAACAATCGCAAGGCAGCGAGCCGACTTGGGAAACCTTGCTCCTATATACTATACATACATACACAGACATATCATATGAAAGGAAGTCCTTATTTTATTTTATTTTTATTTTCATCATTGGATTCCAAAAATTAAAATAATTATTATATTAAAATTTATCAATTAGACTAAATATCATACATCAAATAAGCAATGATTAACCAATTTATTTAAATTAGATGCAGTTATAAATTAAATTAAATTAAATTAAATTAAATTAATATCTAATTACCATTCAATAGACTTGTTAGTGATCAGACTGCATAATTATTTAATTAAAATAATTTCTTAAAAATAAAATCATAAAACCTGAAGTTAATTCTCTTACTTTTTTACTTCATGATTTCTTCATATAAAAAATACCACCACTATCAACTTTTGAAAAGCGAATTACACGAAGGAATTAATGTGCTGTTATCTGACAGTCAATGATTTAAACTACTTACTAATACTAATTCCATTATAAGCAATATCTATATATATATATATATATATATCAATCATAAACATCATACAGACATACCTGCTGCATGGTATAGTAATCAATAAACGACATGCCTATAATCTCACACATACTTGTGTTATATCTATCAAAAAAGGTAAATATTATCATGTATATAATTGTCTTCAATATTACACTTTGAAATTTCTCAGGACACAGAAAACTCATCATCAGTCCAAAGAGAATGCTCCTTCACAATATCTGCAGATATAATGTAGAGAATGTTAGAAGGGTGATGAGAAATGATCACACTAATAGGTATGATAATATCATTTATCAAACATTAAGTTTGGAAAAATATACTAAAAATTATGCAAATCGAGAAAGAGAGTTTTGTAGAGAGAACTTATGGCCTGGTTAAAATAGGCAAGAGGGGAGAAGGATGATAGTTATTGTTGATAAAGATGGTCAGAAATGGAATAGAAAAATGTATAAAAGTGTCAAAATAACCCCTCGACTCTTTGTTGGGGGTTATTTTAGTCTCAGAGCCTATAAAGTGTCAATTTAGTTCTCAGACTCTTTTAAATGGGGCTAAAATAGTCTTCTCTGAAGACTATTTCAGCTCATATTAAAAGAGTAAGTAGATTACTTTGACATTTTTATAAACTCTAAGACTAAAATGGCGCCATGTAAATAATCATGGGGTTATACTGATGCTACTCGAAAAAATGTGCGTCTCAGCATTCTTATTAATAAATTCAATGAAATAAAATGAGCAGAATACAAATCGTAAAATTTGGATCCTCATTCAGTTTGCTCAGCATTGTGAAACTAGAAGAATTTGTAGATTGAAACTTTCTGCAGAAATGGCATACCTGTTACTGAACTTCTCTACTGCTTCAGATGCAAACAGCAGTGTCTCACTGGCCTTTTCTAAGGCCATGTAAAGCTCTCTACCTCTGGAAATCTTAGCAATAACCCAGGCATTGTTTTTGGCTCTAACACAAGCTTCAAAATCTCTCTGGTGCTCGGGTTTATCCAACTTTGTTCTTTTCTTCTCCAAATCTACTTCTTCTCTTAGTGTATTAAGAGCAAGCAAGGAATCCTGCAACCAATAACCAATATCAGTTATTGAGTGGAGAAGGTTTGTCAAAACAAACTCATGAGGGAGACAGATCCTTAAAATCGGGACAACTGATATTATTAAAATGAATATAAATGGGTTCATTGCAGAACTTCAGATGAGTTTACCAAGGCCAATTTTTTCTCTTTATATAAACTAATTTCCATAAGCCAACGTAATAGAAATAGAGATAGACTCCACTTTCACATCGTAGAAAGAAACTGTAAACTATCCGAAATGATCAACTAGCCACACTAGACGATCCAAACTACACTTGTAACGATGTATGTATGTATGTATGTATGTATGTATGTCTTGTAACGATGTATGTATGTCTGTATGTAGTGTGTGTGTGTGTGTGTGTGTAAAGAAATGGCCAAAGGCTAATAGACGAGCCCCGTGTACTGATTGGGAATAATACTCATGCAATACTAGTGTTCGACCGCCTACTCACTTTCTTATCAGGGCAAATCAGAAGAGCTTGAAGTATTTGTTGGAGCAAATGATGGTGACCGAGGAGCATCAGAGGCAGCTATCCAAGTTATTGAGATATGATTTTGAGATTCAACATCGGTCAAGATAGGAGAGTTGCAAATGCCCTATCGAGAAAGGTAGATGAGCCCCAACTAACACCCTTATTGGTACCCTTCCTCCTGGATTGGGAAGCCCTAAGATGAGAGAGCAAGTAAGATGAGGTTGAGGAAAGTACAGGCATTGTTACTATAAGATCTGAACAGTCATCTAGGATATGCATTGATAGGACAATAACTACTCTACTAATGTCGATTTGGGTTACCAAGGGCATCGAAGTACATTCCCAAACTATTGCAGAAGTTTCACAACAACGCAATTGAGGGACATTTTAGGGTACAAAAGACATACAACCGTCTATCAACAGAGCTTTACTGGGTGGGGATGCGCAGGGACATAAAAGATATTGTGGTGCGGTGCAATGTGTGCCAACTATAAATACTTGACCATGGCGCAAGAGGGGTTGTTACAACCCATAGAATTACCGAAGAAGGTTTAGGAAGAAGCGATAATGGATTTTATAGAAGGGTTACCACGATCGAAAGGATTTACAGTGATCTTGGAGGTAGTGGATTGACTGAGCAAATAAGCACATTTCATTCCCTTATTCCAACCCTACACTGCGATCTCAATCGCTTCGATGTTCATACAGGAAGTGGTCTATTTGAACGGAGTGCCATAATCAATTGCATCAAATAAGGATAAGGGTTGCTTAGCCAGTTCTAGAATGAACTATTAAGGTTACAAGAAACAGTCCTCAAGAGAAGCACAACATAACATCCTCAAACCGATGGCCAGATGGAGGTGATCAATAAAAGTGTGGAGACATGCTCGCATTGTTTTGTATTAGACAGACCAAAGCTTTGGGACAAGTGGATTTTAGGGACCGAATACTGATATAATACTTCGTAACATACTACAACGCAAAGCACTCCTTTCAAGATTTTATATGGGTGAGATCCACCCCACCTGATACACAATGGGCTTAGTACTACACCGGAATCCGATGTCGACCAGTACTTGGAGAAGAGGGACACAATTTTAGCAGAACTCAAGGGGAATCTACTGAGAGCTCAAAATCTCATGAAGAGGAATGCAAATGGACAAAGAAAAGAGGTGCAATTCAAATTGGAGGACATGGATTACTTGAAGCTAAAGCCCTACAAGCAAAAGAGATTGGCCAGAAGGAGGAACGAGACTTTCAGCACGATATATTGGACTCTACGAGATGATGGCCTACCGTTAGAGGTTGGCATCGTCATCAACACTGCATCCAGTCTTCTATGCTTCACAGCTAAAACGTGCAATCGAAGATCATAAACACTCGTCGTCACTACCCCCGATGATGATATAGGACCTAGAGGTGATCTAGAACCGTTAGAAGTTGAATGAGTGTGCCGAGGAAAGACAAGAGCAACAAAGGTACTTATTAAGTGGAAATGTCTGTCAGAGTATGAAGCAACATAAGAGCCTTATGCGGTGATCCAAAAGCAGTTCCCATCTTTCACCTTGAGGACAAAGTGCTTCTTTGAGAAGGGGTTGTTATGCTAGTGAATAAATTAACCCAAGCAAGGCTAGTGTAGACCAAGTCAATCGACCCACTCTAGCCTTCTAGTGGCTGACCGGTTCACGGCAAGAGGGGGCGGGAAACCCTAAGGACGCCGCAAAATATTCCAGCCCCTAGGTGGGAATCACTAGGGCTCTAATCACGTGCACAAAGAGAAGAAATTCTAGGAGTTTTGGGGGGAAAGTTTGAAGAGCATTGGGAGGGTTATTAGAGCTAATAAGCTAGAGTTTAGGGAATGTTTTTTTGGGGCTGCAGTTTTTCTTCACTTTTTCTGGTGTTCCTAACAATGTCTAGGTTTGTGGGGAGACGATCTACCTCTCAAATAATAGATGATCATTGTATCTTGTTTGTTTTCTTTGGTTTTATTAAAAACAACCCTCATATGAGTTTCTCTACCATTCTATAGCAATTCATTTGCGGTTTGTTCGCTGTTTTTGGTTTCGGATCATATTAAATTATATTTTCAATTTTCATACATAATTATCAACCCTAGCCTTGATATAATGATTGTAGTACTCCTTAATATATCCAAGGATATGTATAAGACCACGTCGTATTTTAAGCTAATTGGAATTGAATTCATATATAAATTTCTTCTTTAATACCTTTAATGAAACAAATAATAATCACAAAAGTCTATAAGTAAATAATGTTTAATTAGAAAATCTATAAATCTTATAAAGTGCACAAACACACATTTTATATTGCTTGTAATCTTTAAATTAATCATGCAATCGGTTCTTAAATATGTTTGAGTGTGTGTAAAATAACACTGGTCACATCAATTTTAAGATAGATGAATATGTTTTCTACAGTGCGTGTTTTTTAGGGAAAAAAAACAATAAACAAAAACACGTAGTTATGAATGAAACGATAACAAATAAAATAATTTTGCAGTACATTTGTATGTCACTTTTAATAAAATACATACTTATGTGGTGTGTTTTTTTAAAGAAAATCTTTGACAAAATAAATTTCCTGCAAAATTATAATTGTAGTGTTTTTTTTTTAATTTGTTTTGGGCCATTTACATATATACCACCCAATTTTCATGTATTCACATAACACCAAAAAAATTCACATTAACATGCAAATCACTCCATTCTCTCGGTGGTCTGAGGTCACAAAAAAAATATCATTATTCTTTTTAAAAATAAAATACATATTTTCTAATATAAATTTATAGCACTAAAATGTCAAGTGTTATTATCAGATAGATTCTAAAATCCTGCCTGCTCCAAAATCACCAACTGCACTAATAGTGAGCCCAGATTGGGGCATATTAAAGTAGTTATAAAAATCTGAAATTAAGGAATAAAACATTACAAAACTTGTTTTCAATAAAATAAATAAGTTTTCAATAAAATAAATAAGGGCCCAATAATTTCCTAAACCCCAAAAAATAAGAATAAACCATCATTTTCCTGCCGAATAATAACAATAATAAAATACCCTACTAAGCAAAACTAATACATGCATTATTTTTAGTGAGTTGTAGCTGAATCCATCCTTAATTTCTTGCTTAATTTAATGAACCAAATTAGAAGAAGAAAATAGTCTAAAGGTAAATAATGTTTTACTACGAGAAATATAAATCTTATATAATACTCAAAAGCACCATAATCATCTTAAACATTAATCATGCAGTTGATCCCCACAATCATTGAATGATCAATATCGCTGCTTAAGTTTATGGTTTGTATCAGCATGTATAGATTTCATAGCAAAACTTAACCAAAATGATTGTGCATTATCCCAACAACTTTAATCTAGCATATTCAAATAAAAGATTCAAAGAAACATTCCAAATTATTCATCTAACTTTAAAACACTTCAGATAAACCACGCATCAAATAAAGACATGAGATTATGAACTCATAACAATCACATTTTACGTGTATTTACTCAAGATTCATACCTGACCAGATTCCTTCATCTTACATCATTTTTTATCATTTTCATTGGCCCTATTTTAGCCTCCTAGTTGATATGATAATGAAACCTCAAGCTTTGATGCCAATTTGATTCGAGGACACATAAGGTTAAGGGTTCCTAATGCAACTAAATCATGCAATGTATGAAGAGCATTGGATTTTAAGTTCATAGTTCCAAGCACCATAAATTAAAAAAAGAACTTGCCTTCTTTAGCTGTAAATCTAAAAAATGTAAGAAATTTTTCCCAAATAGTAAATTCATGACTAAGTTAACCAAAGAAAATTCATCAAGAGTCTGAAAATCATAAAAAAAAACAAGTCAATGAAGATTCAAGTAACAATTAGAAACTAGTTGTAACACATTTAACAAATATTAGGAACACTAGCAAACTAATTGCAACTAATATAAAATAAAAGAGAACAAGAAAAGAAATCACCAAACACAGAAATAGGCCTTACGTCAGTAAAAATTGGCAGTCACACTTGCAACACACATGAAGGAATCAATATCCACCAAACATACAATAGATTAAAGAATACAGAAAATTTTAATTATGCAAAAAATGTCATTTTTTAATATCTCAAATTATTTTATTTATAAGCATAATCAAACACTGAGTTGACTACCCCAAATGTTGAAGTTAGACGGACAAACACAAATAAGAATATTGACCATCCATAATAGAAATCACTCTATAGCAAACCTCCAAGTACTAACCCATATTACAAGTCCGCCTATATAGTAGTCGTAGCATGGGAAATGTCCATAAAAAATGTTATAGTAGTAAAAACAAAAATTGTAAGATTCATAGGAGGGAAATCAAATGCTATATTACTTGGTGCAGGATGCTCACTTGTGACACCTGGTTTCTTATGCTCAATTAGGACCATTCATGTGGCTGATTTAGAGGTCAGCCTAGTTTGTAGTCAATCCAATCAAAATTGTCCCT